AGCAGCCTTGGTGGGGAGGCAAAGGACTTGAGCTCTGAATGGATTTGTTGGAGCTACTTCCTCTGTAGTGTTGGTTTATTGCTTCCTAGTAAAAGTTCTGTGCTACAAGATCATTACAGATCATATAGTTCAACCTATTTGTTTTGTGAGCTCATTTGAAAATACTTCAGGTATCTGGCATATAGACGGATTTCTTGAAATTAATGTATTTAAGCCAGTAATTCAACTTAATCTTTCTGGTTCCTTGTTGGAATTTGACTAGTTCATAGGCTTGCAGCTTTGTGAAGTGATGATTCAGTTTATCCATTCGCTGAGTGCGCTGCACTGACCTTCTTCCAAGCCTCGGTTCCTGTTCTAGGAACTTGGGGCTACGTAGCCTCCAAATGCCCTGCAGTCTGCGGTGTTCTACCGTGGGCAGCTTGTGTGTTGGTAGACTACCGGTTAGAATGGTTGGTGTCAGCAGGGATGGGTCCCTCTGGGTCCCATCTCACCAAGATGAGTGGTGGAAATCTGATCACTTGCTGCATCCCTTTATTTAGTTTTAAAAGCATATGACTTCCATAGCTATTACTGTGTTTGTAGACTGAAATTTTCCAGAAGTCTGTGGTTCTGTTATCTTTGAGGACTAAGATGATATTGGCAGGCCTGAATTATAGGAAGGGGAGATCCAGTTGGTGTGGGGGGAGGGAGGCAGGAGATGAGGACAAATATCTGTAAAAGTAGAGCTCATACATTGCTTATAGTTGATTGAATTGTTTTTCATGCACCAATGCTATGATGAAAAGCTGGAATTGAATGCAGATAATAAATAGCTTGTGGTTACCTTTCAGGATGGAGGAAAACGTAACAAAGACTTGGAGTAGCAATACTTGAACCATAAAGAGGGGTTTGGAGGAGGATATATTAGAATTTCTAATAGAGCACGTCTTACAAATTGAAATGGCAAAGTGTTTCATAAGTAGGATCATGTGAGTCTTATTTTCAGAACTAATACAAATTTAGAGTAAGTCTGCAGCTGAGCATTTTTTTTTATTTCCTCAATAATGAATATTGGGCTGAGCAAGGTATACATACTTTTCTATCTGAAATCCCTCATTTCTTGGTTCTTGTGATCAAAATGAAAATCTGTTTTACAAGGCAGGCTTCTTGCCTGTTTTGGCTCATGTTAACAGACCATTCATGGATGACATGTCATATTGCCCCTCTCCCTGAAAGGGGTCTTAGTTCCTAGGCAGTAGGAAGGATAACAAGGCAAAATCCTTAGGAGATAGAAACAGTTTAAAGGGAAGACTCACTAGTGTCACATGTGCTAGCATATCCAACTTCTTCCTGTGTGCAAAACTGGTTTTACTTTTTATTTTCAAATTTTATTTAAATTGTAGTTAACATACAGTGTAACATTGGTTTCAAGAGCAGAATCTAGTGATTCATCACTTAATATAATACGCAGTGCTCATCGAAAGTGCCCTCCTTAATACCCATCAATTTATTTAGCCCATCCCCTGCCCTAAAAGTTTGATGTAAATGCCTATTCAGCTAGCCCCCATTATAGCAGAACAGAGTTACTGTGAGATAAATTTCTTCCCATTGTGTTGTGTTTCGTCATTTTGGTTGTATGGTGGTAGTGTAAACTGGAGTCTGTAGTCACCATAACATATACCTTATGTAAGTATTTCTCTGTTCCTCTTGTTGATTCTGAATTTCAGAATCTAGCCTTCTGTGTTGTCCAGTCACAGAGGTAGGTACCCTTTGCCATCTGTAAGCCATTAAGCCATTTGAAGAGAGAGCTTTGCAGTGGTATTGTCTTGTACCAGGGTGAGTCATAAGTAAGATTTGGACCAAAAGTGGTCCTTAGCAGCTCAGAGCTCTGCAAGCAGTATCAGATGTCTCAGCTGTAAAGGTGATAAACAGGTGAGGAAATGCACAGGAATTCTGTATCAAGTTTTTCTCCTTTTCAGGTTCTCTTACAAGCATTCAGATTTTTTTTTTTTTTAAGATTTTATTTATTTGAGAGAGAGAGGGCAAAGCAGGTTCCCAGGACTCTGATCCCAGGACTCGAGGACCGTGACCCGAGCCGAAGGCAGAAGCCTAACTACTGAGCCACTCAGGCGCCCCAGAAGAAAGTTTTAAAACTTTGTTGTTTGAGAGTAGATAACGTTTTGAATTCGATTCTCAGGAGGTACCTAAGGGAACTGGGAAACAAAAATTAATATGCCTAAGGTCAGATAGTTCTGAAGTCCGTTTCCTTGCTGATTTAAACAGCCATTCTAGGCATTTTGGCCTCTGTGGCCCAAGTTAGACTGACAGTGTTGGTCTGCAGTGCTAAGCAGTACTCTGAGTACTTATTTAGGATAAGGGATGGAGGTGCATGAGTGGGAAAAATATATGGAGGGGTGTTATCCTTATACCCTCCATCCTGGTGTTTTATTTAGCAAGTACTGTGGCATGGGGCTGTCTGGTGGTGTTTTTGTTGACTAAGCAGAAGGAATGCTGACCTTTTATTCATTCACACTTGTGCTTCTCGAGTCAGGATACGGTGCTGACTTAGAAGCTTTGAACATTTCAGTGTTTTACTCCTTGATGATGTATCTGCTTCATTATCTGGAGGGTTATATGCTTCAGTACAAGAAAGTTCATTTAACTTGTGAATGAGAACTCTTTGAGTTGATGATGGCTTGAATGCTTAGAATTCTGCTAGTATCTTTTTTTCAGATGACAATTCTTTAAGGCTCAAATGCAGACTTACTGTGTTATCTGGGGTTTTTTGGTGGTTAAGACTATCATGTCAGGTGGTTGGATTTTTGTTTGAATCCCTTGTCTCTGCAAAAAATGATGACGTGCTGAAGAAGCTTGGATGCTTGGTATCCTATGATGGAAAGTCTTTTGAAACCTCCAGTGGTTTTTGCTATTTATTTATGTCCTCGTTGCAAAAAACAAAAACCAAAACCCGTTATTTCTGTGCTGACAAAAAAGGAAGGTGGTAATAATAGTAAATAGTCTGGGGTTTTTACCTCTCTATGATTGAAAGTATGGGAAGAGAGGAAACGAGAATAATTTGTTGAGTGGAACAAAAAGCAGTTGGGAAAGTCCATTGTAGCTTTGACTGAGGTGCTTAAATGAACCCATTTACTAGATTATGTTCCCCTTGGGTCCTTCAATCTTAATTCAAAATGTAGTCCATGTGGAGTTTGTAGACTCATGGAGTTTGCTTCACTTGCAGTGGGCCAAAATGAAATTGTCAGTGTTCAGAAATTGAGAGCTGGCTAGAAACCAGGATTTGTGACTTGGGAGTTGGAATCTTAGGAAAGAGCAGTTGTTTAAATGCACCTTAGACCTGTCCCATGGGCTACCCTATCTTCCTAGCAGTATCTCTTGTCTCTTTTGTACCTGGCCTACTTTATATTTCCTGGACTACCAGATAAAAACACAAGATAGTTGGGATGGCCAGTATTCTCTGCAATCAAATTTTGTGTGTATTTTGAGGTCCTTTCCAACACTGTATTTGCCCAGTGGTAAATGAACAGAAGGAAGGAAGCTTTTATCAGAAATGTCAGAGCTGGAGTCCCAGTTGTGATAAAATGAAGTATCCCTGACCTTGAAACTTTATCTCTGTTTGCAGAGATCTCATAAATGGACATGTGGAAATTGAGCCAAACAAGCAAATATTTCCTAGGAGTCATCAAGAATCCATTTGGAAGAAGTATGGGGTTGAGATGTCAGGGGCTGTTAAGTATACTGTATTTTATTAATACCTGAAGCTTTTCTTTGTATAATAACTTTATTATTCGAAGCTTCTTTCTTAGAGGAAAGCCATTGTTCTAGGGCTGACTGGTTTTTACAGTTTAAAATTTTTAGTTGCAGTGCTCACTGGGAAAGGAGAGTAACGATCGCTTCTAAGATAGGGGAGAGAAATAATCCATTTTTTGTATGTGAATATATTTAAACTTTATAGAACTGATTGAACCAGACTTTCTAGTTTCAGAAGTTAAACCTTGGTGTTGAACTTCAAATTTTGAAGCAAAGAATCCAAAAGGAAATTCAGAGGGAATTTGCTCTGTCATCCCCTTAATGCCAGTCTTCACTTGGCATTCACCGGGTTCATTAATCAGTGTTGTGATGCTTCAGCACTAGATTACTAGTTGGGTGAGAGGGGGATGAGCTGCTTATTCCACACACGCTGTCATGCTGTGTTTGTATCAGATCTTCAGATTGACCATCATTGTCTGCTTTCAGAATTAGGAAATTTATTATGTTTTAAATTTAATAGGAAAGCCATTTTAACCACATACTCCCAACGGTCTAGTTCTTCCAAAATTCTTCTTAAACTGGGAAAAGGAAATTGAGTATTCTTTTCCTCTGAATTTCCAGATCACAAAATCTGTTACTTTTGCTTCCAGGGCAGTGTTCACACTTTTGTCCTTATGTGTCACCACAGTGGGATTCTCCTAATTGAGACCTTTGTTTTTATAATAAATCACATCTTGTGTCTAGATTTCTCATCTCTTTGAAACAATCCCTGACTATAAATTGTTTACTCGAGCTGATTTTTCTTATCCTTCTTTCTTATCCTTCTACTTAGGAACCCTATACCGCATGCCTGTTCTCTTGTATCTTCTCTTTTTCTTAGTTTCTAACTTCTTTCAGTTCTGTGTACTATCTGGTAATGCTTCTTTGTAGTTGGGGCATTTATGTGAGAAGTTCAAGATCTCATTCTGTCTGCTTCTAAGCCGCTTTAGTTGAAATATTTGGTTAAGTGTATTTTTCGTGTAGACCTAAAATCATGTGGTTGCTTTGTTCAGAAATACAGGAATATTTTGGACCTACCCATTCATTTAAAGAGGTTTCCCCACGATTTCAAATAAACTTCAGAGATATCTAAACTGACTTTGTTATAAATGATCTTATGTAGAATGCTTTTTAATTCCTAGCTTCCATTTTTGGAAGGATACTTTTTAACACTACAGTGAAATTGAGACTAATAGCCAAAAAATGTATTTCAGCTGAGATCTGTATCTGTGGACCTGAATGTTGATCCCTCGCTTCAGATTGACATACCCGATGCACTGAGTGAGAGAGATAAGGTCAAATTTACAGTGCACACCAAGGTAAGTGACAGAATGACTTCAGTAATCAAAGCAGTGCTATGTTGTAGCTTTGTGATTCACAGTGGGCAAGAAGAGATGTCCTGAACCGAAATGGTTGCTGTTTGTTTGCAGTGTAGCACTACTGCTGAGAACATCCCTCATCTTGGTTGTAGTGAGCATCAGATAGGTGCTCTTTTGCTTCAGCATTTTCCACTGTGGTGGAGCCTTAGGGTGTGGGTATTGCTGATGTTTGTGTGGCTTATATACTCTGCTCTATGAGGAAGCAAACCAGGCATAGTGATGTGTGGAGCCACTACCTACACAGCTCAGATCTTCCACCTTTGTTTTTATTTGCATGAGTGTGAAGTGCTTGCTTTTTCCCATATTTAGTAAGTTATTGGCCTTAGCCCCTCCTGTTTCTTGTAATCAAAACACTTTTTTCCTTATACAAGTTTTTTAAAAGATTTAATTAATTTTAAAGATTTTATTTATTTATTTGACAGACAGAGATAGAGCAGGAACACAAGCAGCGGGAGTGGGAGAGGGAGAAACAGGCTTTCCCCCAAGGAGGGAGCCTGACGTGGGACTCGATCCCAGGACCCTGGGATCATGACCTGAGCCGAAGGCAGACGCTTAATGACTGAGCCACCCAGGTGCCCTAAAAGATTTTATTTTAGAGATTTTAGAGAAAGAGCATGAGCAGGGAGAGGAGCAGAGAGAGAGAGGGAGAGAGAATCTTCAGCATACTCCCCACTGAGCCTGGAGCCTGATGTAGGGCTCCATCTTCAACCCTGAGAACATGATCTGAGCCAAAAATCGAGTCATTCTGACCCACCCAGATGCCTCATGTACAAGTTTTTTTTTTTTTTTTTAAGATTTTATTTATTTATTTGAGAGAGAGAATGAGATAGAGCATGAAAGGGGGGGAGGGTCCGAGGGAGAAGCAGACTCACTGCTGAGCAGGAAGCCTGATGCAGGACTTGAACCCGGGACTCTAACCCGGGACTCCAGGATCATGCCCTGAGCCGAAGGCAGTCGCCCAACCAGTTGAGTCACCCAGGCGCCCACATGTACAAATTTTTAACTTGACAAAGGCACTAATGCCAATCTGAAAAATGTGGAGAGTAAATGTAGTGTTTCAGAATCCATCCTTTCAGGAACATTTTCAGTATCCTTTCTCCTTCCATACTAGTTAAAATGTATTGAATGCTTGTCTTACACCAGGCATTGTAAAGAGTTTACGTAGATTTAATTTTCTCTTAATAATCTTATGATAGTATCGTATTATCCCCTTATATGGGTGAGGAAACCGAGCCACAGGTTTAAGTAAAATAAATGGCTGAGGCACAATTTGAATTGAGCAGTTTGATTCTGTACAAAGCTTTTGGGTTACATGCCATCTCCCGCATATAGACACGCTGTCTGTACAGTCCTCCCCCATGTGGTTTTCTTTTAATACCTTGGTGGCTTGATTAGCGTACCTCGCTCAGGAGACAGTGTGACGACTATGTGATTATATCTGCCTGAGTTGACCTGAGAGGTGGAGTTTTGTGAAAAGAATTCCTTAAAGAACATGTTGAATCTTCAGCAATGACTTTTATAGTGAGGAGATCAGGTGTTGCTGCTTTTGTTCTTGACTGGGTCTCACTGAGCTGTTTTGTTACACAGAATTTTCCCATAGCACAGCCCAGGAAACCCAAACCGCTATATCAGAAAGTGGTGGTTACCAGTTAACTTTTTACTCTGTTCTTCACAGACCACGCTGCCCACGTTTCAGAGCCCAGAGTTTTCTGTTACAAGGCAACATGAAGACTTTGTGTGGCTACATGACACACTTATTGAAACTGCAGACTATGCTGGGCTTATCGTAAGTGCATTTTGGAAAATCAAATAATCACTGAAGCCAGTTTCTTCTATCTTCTTACTCATTTTGTTTGAGACTTTTACCCATTTTTTATAATGGATTGTGAAAACTGTCTGATTTCATCTACCAACTAGACGATGTACTATTGGTAAGGCTGAACTACATGAGAATCGTATTGTAGCTGTGAGGTGAAGCGTACATACATTCTTAAGACCTGTATGATAGACTAAATGGTTTCATGGTTTGAATCTTCTCTACCTTTGGGTTTGGTATTTCTCTGGTACTTCCAGGCATCAAGTAGAATTGATTTCTAGGAAAACCTCAGAATGGTAATGGTGTACAATAAATTTCTCAAAAGTGTCCTCCGCTCAAGGAGTAGAGGAAGCAGTTGTCTTTGTGCTAATAAAAGTAGTGTTGAAGCTTGTGTTTGAGAATATTCTGTTCACTCAAAATTAGAATCTTCTCATCCTGTGGAATTAAAAATTGCCTTTGATGTCTAGAGACTAATTTTGATGGTGCTTCATAGACTTCATTTTAGCACTGATTGTCATATATACATTTTAAACTGACATTGAGCAGGTTAAACACTATTATCCCCTACAGATCATCCGTAATGGATAACCTGAACAAATGATTACAGTCTGAGTGCCCAGTTGTGGGGAGGAGACTTCTTTTATATGGCCAAAAGGAATAAGGTTAAGAGAAAAACAGTGCTTGACCTGTTAGCCCCACTGGGGTGGCTGCCTCCTTGTGCATAGGCACTTAGTAGAATATTGCTGCCGGGACAAGGATGCTTGCGAGTTAACCTGCCTCTCCTACAGATTCCGCCCGCTCCTACAAAGCCTGACTTTGATGGCCCTCGAGAAAAGATGCAGAAATTGGGAGAGGGTGAAGGGTCTATGACCAAAGAAGAATTTGCTAAGATGAAGCAAGAGCTGGAAGCGTAAGTGGGTTTTCTTGATGGGGCTGTATCTTTTGAGAAGAACCAAAGTGGTGATGTGTACAGAAATCAGGAGAAGCTGGCGGTTTTCTAAAAGTTTGGCAGCTAATTAGTTGCCTAGTGCGCTGTCCTGTAGAACTGTTGATTCCCTTGGGCGGGGGGCGGGGGTGGGGGACACTGGATAGATTGATTGTTTTCCCCCATGTGGACTACTTGTTCTAGAATGCTGGTCTGGCATAGTGAAGAAGTAAGCCTTTGTGTCTTTGTAGATAAAGAACTCTTCAGGCTGCTGATAGTGTACTAAGTCTTATTCCCTGAAGTTCGCTGACTAAAGTATAGCTGAAACTAGACTGTACTGATGCGGTTGCGGAGAAGCACTCTGAATAGTAATCACATTGATGGTTTGAAAGAAGTCCTAGGTTCACAGGAAGCATGTTTTAATTTGGTTGTAATTATTTCAAACAAAACTGTATCACAGTTGGGGATTTGCATTAAAATTACTAAATTACCCTTACACCTCTAACTTGGCTCCCTCCCCCCCTTCCATCATCAGTGTGGTGCCCATCTCAGCAGTTGTCCTCTGCTCTGCCCCATGGCCGTATTCTCAAGGGCCAGTGTTCACACACCTCCAGGTACTAAGTCATTCCGCACATGCTAGAGTACCTGTCATGGCCTGTTCTGAGAATAAGATACAGCACAACAGACTGAAGTCCTACCATGGAGAAGTTTAGAGTGATCTGTAATACCTAGGTTGAGATAAAGTCACTTTATAATGTGTGATAATTCCAAGCATTCAGTGCTATGTATGTGGGTGCAGGACTAAGGCCTTTTCTTCATTGTTTGACAGAAACCAGTGTTCTGTGGCTGCTAAATACTAGCAGTAATTGCATGTAGGTTTGGGCTTTGTAGACGTGCTCTCTCAACTCCGGTTATAATATTACTTTGCCCTTTCTTTGGTTTATTCCACGGGTTCCCAAATGGCAAATGCCTTATTACTAATTAGATAAAAGGTTATACCAAAATGTTTTGGTCCAGTTCAGGTGTTTTCCCTTAGTAGCATGAGCAGAACAATGGTGATAACCAGGACCAATACTGGTTTAGTCGAGCGGTGCCAGCTGAATGCCTTGTGTGCTTCTCTTCCAGTGAGTATCTTGCGGTCTTTAAGAAGACCGTGTCCTCCCATGAAGTCTTTCTACAGCGGCTCTCTTCTCACCCTGTTCTCAGTAAAGATCGCAACTTCCATGTGTTCCTGGAATATGATCAGGATGTAAGGCATTTTTGTTCCATTTCCATGATCCAGTGAAAATGCACATGACGGTGTTTTTTTCTATCCCTCCCCACTTAGGGAAGGGGGTCGGGGGAGGGGCAGGGGGAGAGCGAGAGAATCCGGAACAGGCTCCATGCCTAGCACAGAGCCTGATGCGGGGCTCAATCCCACAACCCTGAGATCATGACCTGAGCTGAAATCAAGAGTTAGGTATGGATGCTTAACTGTCTGAGCCACCCAGGAGCCCCCACGTGTGACTATTTAAAAAAAAAAAAAAATACGCTTGAGGGGCACCATGCTGGCTCGTCAGAAAAGCATGCAGCTGTTGATCTTGGGGTCATGAGTTTGAGCCCCATGTTGGGTGTAGAGATTGCTTTAAAAAAATAAATATACTTGATGGCCTGATACATTTTCTGAAAAATTGACTTTTAAAGTACTGAATTTTTTAATGGCACAATGGAATCCTTTTTTTAGATACTGTTTCCACCTCTCCCATAGATCCATTTCAAGACATTTTTATAAAATGCGTAGATTACTTTTCTCCCCTTTTAATAAAGGACCAGTTTTTGCCTTCACTTATTTTTGGGATTGTTTTGTTTTGAAAGGTTTTATCTGAGAGAGAGAGAACAAGAGGGTGTGGGGGGAGAGGGAGAAACAGACTCTCCACTGAGCGGGGAGCCTGATGTGCAGGGATCATGACCTGAGCTAAAGTCAGACACCCAACTGACTGAGCCACTCAGGCACCCCAATTTTGGGATTAAGAGGAATTTCAATTAACATTTGTTTCTGGTTACCTGTTTGTTGGAAGGAGTTGTATATTTTGCCTTATTTTTAAGATTTTGTTAGAGAGTGCGTGCGCACACAAGCTAGGGAAGGAGGGATGGGGAGAAGCAGCCTTCCTGCTGAGCTAGGAGCCCAACATGGGGCTCCATCCCAGGACCTGGAGATAGTGACTTGAGCTGAATGCAAACGCTTAACCATCTCTGCCACTACTTAATATGTGTGAGGCAAGCCCTGACTTAAGTTACTCAGTATCGTCTAACCAGTGAAGTTCAGTGAACAACATGGAACAGTATAGTAATTCAGCCAAGGATTTAAAGGCCACTAACACATGCCTGGCTAGCTCAGTTGGAAGCGCATGCAACTCTTGATCTTGGGTCCGTGAGTTTAGGCCCCATGTTGAGTGTAGAGCCTACTTAAAAATAAAGTATAAAATAAAAGCCACTGAGACTTAGTGCCAGGTATTATTTCCAAAATATCTTTAGGTCACGCTTTTGTTTTATTTAAGATTTTATTTATTTGACAGACCGTGAGAGAGGGAACACAAGCAGGGGGAGTGGGAGAGGGAGAAGCAGGCTTTCCAAGGAGCAGGCAGATGCTTAACGACTGAGCTACCCAGGCGCCCCTAGGTCACGCTTTTAGAATTATGACCTATGTTTAGGTTTTGCTGTTTATTCCTATTTAGATTTGGTGGCTAAGATGGAATTAAAAGGTATCTTATGTGTGTTCCTATGCTAGTACACAGTATCACTTGGAGGATACTTGGAGCTTAAAGTACTTAGAGAAATATGTATACCATAAACTATTTTTTCCTAATTTTCTTTTTTTTTTCCAGCTAAGTGTTAGGCGGAAAAATACCAAAGAGATGTTTGGTGGCTTTTTCAAAAGTGTGGTGAAAAGTGCTGATGAGGTCCTTTTTTCTGGAGTTAAGGTAAGGGCTTTTAGCTGTTTGTAGAAAACTCTTCATGTGACATTTTATTTCTGCTGCTGCATTTATTTCTTCACAAGAGATTTGTAAAACAAATGGTATTAGTATTAACCTCACAGAAATGTAAATAATTTTTTTAAATTTTGGTTATTTTTATCTACTCAATGAATTTTTGCTTATATTCCTAAAATATCCTGTTCTCTTAAGTGAGGGTTTAAGAACAGTCTCACACTTAGTTCTTCATTTTCTCCTTTTCTGTACAGAGAGCGGTTACTCAGTTTATTTTTTCAGAAAATAAGCTACAAGATTAGTATTTCGTGCCATTCTCCAGGACTACTGTCCATTTTGGTAGTCCCAGCCACACCAGATTTTTAATTTTATTTGTATGTCCAGATTTCAAGGATCTGATGTGAAGAAAAGAATGTAAAATATTAAAAGTAGTTTCATCTGTGTTTTGTTTTTGTTTTATAATGTGGCTACTAGAAAATTTTTAAATAGCACATGTGGTTCATATATTTCTGTTGGACAGAGCTGTTTTAAAAGACTAACAAACAGGTCTCTCATTACCCTCAGGGTGATATTTATCTCTCACGTCTCAGCCCCTTCCATTTTTTAACTGAGTTACCATCTTGTGTTTAGCTTTGCCACTTGTTGAGGACTTGAGCAAGGGGCCCAGACTATAGGTGCTGAGTAGTGGGCATCGTCAGGAATTTGGAAACTCTAGGAATTTCTCTTTGGTGCATTTTAAGGTGTATGGGGCTGTCCTGTACCCACATATCACGGGATGTTTGGCATCTCTGACTGGTGCCCACCAAATATACCCCCGCATACAAACATGTGGGTATCCACTACTGAGTTGCAACCTGCCAGCCAGAACCACTTCTCTGCCAGCATTGCTGGATGTTAGGATACCAGAGTTTTCCTGGGCATTGTTGAATGGCTCTTTAATTGTTTTCTCTGTTGACATTTCCTGCCAGCGCTTGAGGTTTGCTAATCTTGGGTATGAAATGCTGTCTTGTCACTTTGGCTTTCCTTGTCCATAGAAGTTAAAGTTTTTAATGCATGAGCTTATTTCCTTAATGTTTCTTTTAATGCATAATACATTTGTATTTTTAAGAGTTTTGCTTCTTAAGTTTCTTTTTTCCCCTTTTAGGAGGTAGATGACTTCTTTGAGCAAGAGAAGAATTTCCTCATTAACTATTACAATAGGATCAAGGATTCATGTGCAAAAGCTGACAAAATGACCCGATCTCATAAAAGTAAATACCATTCGCCCACTAGCCACGTAGCTTTGCTAACGTGCTAGCTCTGTTCATATAAAAAGGGCTGTCTTTTTTTCTGCAGATGTTGCAGATGACTATATCCACACTGCAGCCTGTCTGCATAGCCTGGCTTTAGAAGAGCCCACGGTCATCAAAAAGTAAGTTTTTGTTGGAAAAGCATTTTCCCTGCTCCCCTAATTGAAAAGTTCTGAGTGGTATAATGAGGAATGACTGTATAGTTTCACTTCTGCTTTTGAGTACCAGCTCATCAAGAGTAGAGGATAGTATAGTTTCTAGCACTCAAATCTTTATATACCATCTGAACATAGACACAGTTTAAGATGTTTGTAGGGTACTCAGAGGGCACTTCTATACCAAACATGGTAGCTATTGTCAAAGAACTTATTTTTGTCAAACTGTCTCCTTTTTTTTGATTCAATTCTGGAGTTGTCTCTGAATGATGTTTGCCTTCTATGTTCTCTGGCAAGTGGTGTTTCACCTGGTAAAGCCCTGGACTTAAGAAGTTTGTTTTGGTTAAGGTGGTCTTAAGGGTAATGCAATGACCCCAGTCTGGTTTGAGCTTTTTTATATGAATTCACAGTTCCTCCATCCTGGGTATTTCTGGTGTGAGACTGCACTCTACTTAACACTTAAGGCTTGGTATAACAGGTGGTGGTGGTATTTCTGATTTGAAGATGGACGTCAGGCTAATGTCAAAATGAAACAGTAGCTTTTTAAAAATTTTATTTTTATTTTTTTTATTTAAATAGCATATTTATGGTTTTGGAACACCCATGGTGGCAGCTCATTAGAACCTGCCCTTAGTTAACACAGCGTTGACGTTGGTTAAAGACTATCTAGGGACACAGTATCGGCATGGCAAGGTGGCTGAGGGGCACTGAGAGAGGTTGATAGCCACGAGTGTGGCACTGTAGATGTGCTCAGTTCTGTAACCATCTTCTCTACTAGGTTGGGCCAGTTGGTGATGAAAGTACTACTTTGATAAATTAATTCTAAAGCACCAAATGCTCAGATTCCTGCGTTTACTCATTCATGTCTTACTGAGAAGGTCCTGTTTCATACATGATTTTAAGACCTTAAGCCAAAATCATGTGTATCTTTTCAGGTACCTATTGAAGGTTGCTGAGCTATTTGAAAAACTTAGGGTAAGGATTTTTATGTTGGTCTTCATTATATATTTTAAAATCTGTAGATTTTTGCTTAGATGATGGTGACCTTTACTTTTTTTAATAGAAAGTAGAAAGTCGAGTCTCCTCAGATGAAGACTTAAAGCTGACAGAGCTTCTCCGATACTACATGCTCAACATAGAGGCTGCTAAGGTAAGGCAGCAGGTGTTTAACTCATCAGAACAATACAAGACCACCTTGCCATGACCCAGAAGAGGTCTCCTGTTAGAGATGTATTATTTTGTTGTTGTTGTTGTTGTTTGTGTTGTTGAAAATGAAAGAAGGTTAGGAATTTGTCAGGATTGTTTGTGTAAGTAGTACTAAATAAAGAGGTAAACCAAGACAGGTTGGACCAGAAATTGAGTTGATTTGGGAATAGCAGAAGAATTGCAGTTCAGGAAACACACGCTGTAGCAAGCTACAGGCAAGTGCATTAAGGGTTTGGGCTGGGCTTGTATTTAGTAGGAGTGTGAAGAGAGGGACATCCAAGCAGTTAAATTCATTGGCTTGAGGATGTTTGTGCCAAGAAGTGAGTTGATCAGACAGGAGATAAGTATCTTCTGGGTCTTCTATAAATTGGGCATTTGCAATCAGTACCTTAGTTCTTAGGTTTCATTCATTTGAGGGCATGTGTGTGAGATTCTCTATTTCATAGCCTCTGGTTCCATTTTAGATTGAAATCTTTTTACAAGTAACATACCTTTTTCTGGCATTGTGTCCTTAGTTCGTATCAGGAGCAGTAGGAGTGGTGCTGAGTGGACAGATAGTAATTTGGGGGATTATAGGTTATTGGATGCGGGTATAACCGAACACATTCCAAAAGGTCTCTGAGGGAGAAGAGGTTTTTGGGTTTTGTGAGTTTTTTATTGAATTGCAGTTTTTGAGTCTATAAACCATTACTCAACCAAAACCAAGACTAAGTGGTAAGCAGAATGACCTTTGGGAATGAAACATGCTTTCACTGGCCGTAACACTGCCCTGAAATGTCATTAGGAAGTAGAAATTCATGATTTTCCTCATAGTTTCATTTTTAGTTAACTTGTCTTTTGGCATGTTTCCTTAGTCTTATATTTGGATATATTTTATATACTTCAGACTATTTCTTATTTAGTATTTTAAGGGACTTGAGAGCTGATTATAAACCCAGGTTTTTTGAGTGCACACAAAATCATGTATGTTGAGCCTCCCGTATCTATTCTGTTTTAAATATGGAGGTAAGTTGTACATTGCTGGAGATTGCAAATAATCTTTATTTCGGATGTGAGAGCCTCTGTCGGACTTGAGGCAGGGCTTGTGGTGGGGTGAGGTTAGAAGAATGTTCTTCCTGCTGCCTCACTTGTGTTCTAGTAGCATCACTTGACACACCCAGCAGTGCCTGCTGTTTTGGTAGAAGGTGGTTAATTTTCTGAAACTGCTTCCCATGAGTGAATTATGGAAATTCGATCCTTTAGTTTTCACTGTTGGGTGTTTTTTTTTTTTGTTTTTGTTTTGTTTTTTTTGGGGTTTTTTGGATTTTTTTTTTGATCCATATAAATTTCAAAAAGCTCTCAACAGTGCTGCAAGAATTGCTGTTCCTAGGATAATCTTGAAATAAAAAACATAATGGAAGAGGGGGAGGTAGAAGTGGACTAGATTGTTGCCTTCTGACATTTCAGAGAGTGCATTGGCACCGTGATACTTGGGCCTTTTTTTTTTTTTTAAATTTTAGAAATTTTAGAGTAGTTTAGATAATTACTCCTCCTGTTTTGTTCTCTAGCCATTTTTCAGGATAACTTTAACTACTATTTCCTATTTGTTAATTTTTTTTCTCAGGATCTCTTATACAGACGCACCAAAGCCCTCACTGACTATGAGAACTCAAACAAAGCCTTGGATAAGGCCCGCTTGAAAAGCAAAGATGTTAAGTTGGCTGAGGCAAACCAGCAGGAATGCTGCCAGAAATTTGAACAGCTTTCTGAATCTGCAAAAGAAGGTTGAGCAGGGCTATTCTTTACTTTTTGCTTTTTATTTGGAAATAATTTCAAGCTTATAGAAAAAAAAGTTGCACAGATAATGCAGTTCTAGAACACCTGTGCATTGTTTACTTGGAGTCCCCTAGCTGTCCAGTTTGCCTCTTCTGCTTTGTCACTTGCACACACATGTAGTGGCATGTGTATGTTTATAAATGCACACAGGGTGGAATTTTCTTTTCCTTTTTCAACCATTTGAGATTAAGTTGTATCTACTGTCCTTTTATCCCTAAAAAAAACTTGGTTGTGTATTTCTCTTACATCCCTATAGGATTTTTACTGACTTTGGTAAACTTTGATGCAATACATTCCAACCTGTTGTCTATATTCTCATTTTGTTTGTCCCAATAACGTCCTCCTCTCTAGGGTTGCCATTAGGTTACCATAGCTCTTATGTCTCCTTTAATTTGGAAGGAACCCTTCTCAGGGACCCCTGCCCCTGCCTTTTTTTTTTAAATGACATTTGCAGGGATGCCTCGGTGGCTCAAGTCAGTTAAGCGTCTGCCTTCGGCTCAGGTCATGATCCCAGGGTCCTGGGATCAAGTCCCGCATCAGGCTCCTTGCTCAGGGGGGAGCCTGCTTCTCTCTCTGCCTGCCATTCTCCCTGCTTGTGCTCTCCCTCTCTCTCTGAAAAGTTAGTAAATAAATTCTTTAAAAAATACATATATATTAAAATAACATGGCATTTGCCTTTTTGGGGACCACAGTCTCTACAAATAGTGTTCTTCATTTTTGGAATGTCTATTCCCTTATGAATAGGTTCTGGTTATGCATTTCCAGCAGAATACTATCTGAGTAATGTCTTTCAGGTGTCGCATCTGAGGGCACCTATGTCCCATTTTCCCCTCATTTGTGGTGTTAATTTTGATTACCCAATCAAGGTGTTGCCCAATTTCTCCACTGTATAGTTAATCCCGCCCCCCAGCCACTAATCAGCAGTGTGTGGGGAGACAGTTTTAGACCTTGCAGATAGCCTGCTCTTCATCATACTTTCTCCCTAAATTTAGTCTATGTTGATTCTTGTCTGGGCCAGCCTTTACGGTGATGGTGGCAGAAAAGGCAATTCCCCTCCCCCAGTTCTAGCATTCTCTTTCCAAGCCTTTGGCATCATCATCCTTTAAACACAAGCCTTCCCTTCTTTACCACATTTCCTTCCTTGTCATTATTAGAGTCATGGGTTTTTGTTTCTGTTTAAGATCTTATTTGACAGAGAGTGTGTGAGTGAGCACAAGCAGGGGGAGCAATAGAGGGAGAGGGAGAAGGAGGCTCCCCACTGAGCAGGAAGGATCATGACCTGAGCCGAAGGCAGACACTTAACCAACTGAGCCACCCAGGCGCCCCTGGGTTTCTATTTACAGAATTGTGACAAGATTTGGGTACTAAATGCTCATTCCTCCTGGGGTATGTTTGCTTCTAGGCCCTTCAGGAGACAGAGCCAGGAAATGGAGGGGTGTGTAACTCTCTTTTCAGAAATCATGAGTCCATGGTGGTGATTCAGTTCCAATCTATAGCCTTGGGGTTCTTTCTTGCCTACCCAATTCCAGAGTAGGGGAGAATATGGCTTACCTTAATTCAGGATAGAGTTCCATTTCCACAGAATAGGAGTGTAAATTGTAGTCTTCGCCTTAGGGGGGTCTCACTACCTGGCAGTTCTCAGGGGACATGGAACACGCTAAAAAGTAAAGAATGTATTTTCCTGAATGTGAATGTAATTATACTGATAGTCTGTACCGAATTCACCCCCAAACTTGAGTTTCTGTGAGAAATCCCTATGTTGTTTTAAGACTTTGTTTTCTCAGAACTTTTTCCTCCTCCCCTATGGTTCCGGAATCTAAGCATTATTTGAAAACGTTCTGATAATAGCAGTGAGCCTTTGTGTTGGCGCATTGTTTTCAGTACTATAATTCCTTAGCTGTAAGAGACAGAGCTTCTCTGTACAAAAATCTTGAAAGGGGCATGCACATATCCTCGCTTGGCTGTCTTTTGGATTCTTTCAAAGGAATCTCCTTGCTGCCACGGTAAAATAAATTTTTGCGCTTTAATTAGCTAATTTAAATTTATGAGGAAAAGAACAAACTTCAAAACTCCTGAGTTGAAATCTTAGGTTATTACATAGGCCAGACTTTACTAGCCCTGACAACTTCTGAGGGAATTAAAGAAAAACCACAAAGCTTTAAAATGGTGCCAATTTAGGCCTGTCCTTACCTAAGGTTTGTTCCTGTGTTAGATTTTTATCCTTTTTATTCAAAATAAGCCTGGTTATGCTATATTTAAAAGTACTGCGTTGTGTAGAATACTGCATTGAATGGGAGCATAGTACAAAAGGTGGGGGTGTGGACAGGCATCACGGGAGATGAGACAGGTTAGCGTTGGGTCCTGGTCCTGGGTGCAGGCCTAGAGGAAAGACGAGTTTATCCTGACCTCTGGGAAAGACCTATTTAGTATATCAAAGGTAATGTCATTAACCCTCATGATAAGATTTGTAAGTTTTCACTTTTTAATGTTGGCTGCTTCATCTTTCTTTTGGTCGGTACTGTATAGACCTGGTACAGGAGGGTAAGTTTGCTCCTGAGGACTAGAGTGCCAGCTTGAGCTGGGGAGGGTTTTGACCAACAGAATGATGACCAGAACTACACATTTATGAAAGGAATCCAAGGGAGGAAGTACTTATTTTTGGTTTACCCTAATTTCTAATGGGGCATTAATCCTGAATAGTGTTTGGTGATAGGAAATAATAGATGTAAAGGTGGCATGTTGTATAGATCATATCTACAGAAAAGCAGTCTGAACATAAGCAGTAGTTTCACCACAAATTTAAAAATAATCATTAAAGAAATAGCCATTGGTGTGGGTATGTATATGTGGCTCACTACCTCCCCAGCCTTCTTTCTACAAGTACTGGTAGCTAGAAGTTCAGGGCAAGACTGCTCATTTCATTGATTATCCAAGGAGTCCATCGCATTCTCTGAATATTGATGCCCAATAATTGGGTGCAGTGCTAGTGCTCATTTTAAAGGCAATGGCAGGGGCGCCTGGCTGGCTCAGTAGGTCAGGCATGGGACTCTTGATCTCAGGGTTGCTAAGTTCAAGCCCCATGTTGGGTGTAGAGATTACTTAAAAATAAAATCTTAAAAAACAGGTGGGCACCTGGGTAGCTCAGTTGGTTAAGTGTCTGCCTTCGGCTCAGGTCTTGATCCCAGGTTCCGGGGATGTAGCCCTGCATCAGGCTCCCTGCTCAGCGGAGGAGTCTCTCTGCTTCTCCCTCTCTCACTCCCTCCCCATTCATGTTCTCTCTCTCTCTCTCTCTCTCTCTCTCTCTGAAATAAATAAAATCTTTAAATAAATAAAGGCAATGGCAGGCATATCACTACATTGTCCATAAAATGTCAGGTATATGTCCCAATTGCAGAAATAGTAAGAATATGAGAAAATGTATGTATCAAAGCTTTAGAGATTATATTATATGTAAGGATGATATTTAGAAGTTAAAGATGGATATTGTTCAGCTTTTGTTGGTATACATTCTTTTATAGAACTAATCAATTTCAAACGAAAGAGAGTGGCAGCATTTAGAAAGAATCTAATTGAAATGTCTGAACTGGAAATAAAGCATGCCAGGGTAAGTGTTTTCCTTCAAATTAAGCCAGAAGCTTTTTAGGGTTCCCCCCCTCAGGTTATTTCCCAGTTCACTCTCTCTCTATCATTGGGCAGATGAGCTTTGCTTTGTGGTATTAATCTCCTGTGCGATTAATCTCCTGTGATGTAGGTGGGAGTCACTTCTTGGATTTTTTCTGCTGCAAACCAAAATTCTACAACATCATGATGAAATACTGCTTTGGAGAAGAGCATATTAGTGTCTTAATATTAATTTCTTTTTTTGTTTAGAAAGGAAGAACTTCCTTGTGTATTTAATGTCTGTAGCTTAATTTGGTACAGAAAAGATGGAGAAAAATGGTTCTCAATTTTGGGTATACATTAGAATCTCCTTAAGGAGCTTTTAAAGACTTTTTGGTGCCCAGAGCAATTGGCTCAGTTTCTAGGCATGGCTCTTCCAGTGGTTCCTAGGTACATCTGCATGTGATACCCAGAAGTGCTGTCTGGCCCATCAGCATTGGTTAAGCAGGAAGACTTTGAACATATGTGTGTATTTTGAATTTCTTTATTTTGACTACAACATTTATTTACTTTTTGATTAAGTCCAGGTCCTGCTGTGTATGACCTTTTAAATTGGGGTTTTAGAGTGGCCTGTATATGTAAATCATACCCGTAATGTTCTGGGTGTTCTGAGTTTTCTCAGTTCCTCTTTGTAAAGCAGTTTGTGCTAAGTTCTTTACGAATATTTATCATTTGTAATCTCAATTAATTTTTAGCACTTTTTTTATCCGGTCTTTCCAAGGCCTTCAGTTTTAAAGAACAACTCTTCTATAGCATTTAGGTTACGTCACAGTAAGCAAAATGGGCAGGATTGCATTGAGAGCAGATCTGTGGTGGAGCTGTGAGCCTCTCCAGGTGGCAGTCGCAGACCCTCAGAGGGAGAGGAACTCACTAACATGAAATTGGGGTGCAGGTTGTAGGATGAGGTTCAGTTGAGATTTAGTGAAGAAAAGGACCCAACCCAGTTTGGCTGGCTTTAAATCTCTTGTGAAAAGTTTTAAGTTCTGGGTTTGAGTTGAATTCTTACAGATATGTAGGTCTGGACTCTATAGAGAGATTCATTGGTCTGCCTCGACTTTTGTCTTTCTTCCAGAACAATGTCTCCCTTCTGCAGAGCTGCATTGACTTGTTCAAGAACAACTGATCTGCCTTTTCTCTGAATGAAGGACACGAATGTGAAAGAAAGCCAGCATCACTTGCACTTAAATCATCACAAGATTTATTACCTTTTACTTTAGTTTAAAATTATGTGAATAAATATTTTGATTTCTAAAAATCTTAACACTTAACCATGTTGGTTTAAAAATATTTCTATTGCATGCTAATTGGACATAACGAATCTTTCCCTTATGCATTTAATACCTCAAAGTGGGCAGAATCTACATGCTGAGTTCTCCTGTAATTTGTCTTTAGTTATAAAGAGTGCAGGAAACATGTGCCTTCTGGAACCAACTACAAGCAATGGCTTGGCACATGTTGTCTCATGGTTTCATGTGCCCATGTCCCTCCAAACCGGTAATTTAGAGTAGGTGCCACTGACAACAAATAAGTCAGCTGCTTGTTGCAGGTAACATATACATTCCATTCCTTAATGTGATCCCCCCCCCCTTATACTCATGGTTCTTTAGTCACCTTAAGTGACTACTATAACAAGAGCGAGAAAATCTCATTTATATACCCTTTGCAGCTCCATTTTTTGTAGTTGGGATATAAATATTTGAGGGGAGAGAAATATCTTAGGGTATAAAAACAAATAATATGGCCTACTTTAGAAGATGGCCAGTCTAAGATGTGAGCCCCCTTCCTGACCATAGGGGGAGGTGTGTGTGTGTGTGTGTACTTTGTATAATAAAATAATAAATCATGTTACCATATGGAGTGTTTTTGTGGAAAACAAGGCCCAGGTATTCCCCAAGACTGCGGTTGGTACTAACCCTTTGATGCTGAGGGCTTCAAGGTCTCTCTTCCCACAGTCCTAGCCTCTGTTCTAATCCTAACGTCTTTTGAGACTACTGATACGGCCATTTTTTTTTTGGAAGGTCCCCAGATCGGGTTTGTCTGGCTTGCTCACGGGTTCAATTTGGGTTTGCATTTTTGACAGGCTTAGCATAAGTGATGCTATGTCCTCAGAAAGGCTGCATCAATCCTGTTGGTGATAACTAAGCTGGTGATGACTAGTACCTGCCAGGCATTCCCCTGTGAAGTTTTACATCTTACCCTTTGTAGGTAACTATTGGGAAGATCCTTTGAGAATTGGTTTTGTGGGCTTTTCTTTCTCTTACAGTCGTAAGAGATGTTTACCCACCACTTTCATCCTGTTCTTGGATTAGCTGTAGCTGGTAAAAGAGTTGCAAAATATTGATGTCTGAACACCACAGGGAGCAGTTTTTCTTCTATTAAACTGTCATTGAAGTCTAGCTTCCCCACCCAGCCAGTTAATAAAAGGAGCCAGATACCTAAATTTACTAAACGGGCCAGACACAGCAGCTTGCTTCTCCATGTTACATATTTAGGAAGCATGGTGCTGCACAAAATGAATTTAAACAGCTGAAACTCCAGTCTGGGTTCCTGACCCTATTTATCTCCTGCTTACCTGACAGCCCCATACTATACTGTTCATGGTAGCACAAGTGTTAGGTGTGTTTGGGGTGGGTCACAACTGGTCTAAGGTGCTCCAGCGGCTGGCCCCCCATGCTTCAACGCTCAACCGGGGCCTTGTTGCACTTTGGACTAGGTCTGGCGGGGTGTCAGATAAGCAGCCAGGATGCTGGGGTCCTAAGCCCTGGCCCTGCATGCTGAGAGAAGCAGTTCTTTAGGTACTCCCCAATTTTCTACCAGTGACTTCCAAGTATCTTGGGCACATTTCCAGGTGTGCACCTTCTGCACTATCTTGGTCTCAAGAATAATTTAGTCACAACTGGGCCTGAGTCATTTCCATGAAACCATGGGTTCTGAGTGGGTGAGGGGTGTTTCCAGTCCTTTCCCACTGGTGTCTGTCAACAGAATCATCCCTGCTTTTGTGCTGTCCCATGCTCAGTATTCCTGAGGCACCAGGCGGACCCGCAGAGAGGTAGCCAACATCCTGGGACCTGAAGGCGTGGCAGTGTCTCAGGCGCCGGTGTGTCTCCCACGTGGTGCAGAGCAAAGAATGTTTGCGTGGGCCTCTGCAGGGGGAAAGTCAGTGGCAAACTAGCTGCTGAGGAGCCTTCTGAGTGTGAAAGGGGCCACTGGGTGACCTGGGGTCGCTTCAGAATGCTGTGTGGGGGTGTCAGTAAAGCTTCAGTGAGATTGCCTGCTGGCCATCCTAGGGGTGTTGCAGGGCGTAGCCTGCACAGGCAAGGGAAGACCACTCTGGTCACCTAGCACAAGCTGTGGGACAGCTACCTCTCCACATGACCCACCCCATTTTTTTGGGTGTCAGTATTTGCCTTGCCCACCTTTTGGGGTTGCAAGTTTCATTTGAGAGAAGGCCTAGACCCAGCCCTGTAAGGATTTTCTCTTGGAAGCCCTTCCCTGCCGACGGGGAAGTAAGCGCCTTGCACCATCAGCCTTCTACCTGTAGGCGGCAGAGGCTCCCAGGGCGGCCACACGCCCTCTTGTGGGGCCTCTTCTCTGGGTGCAACTGGGGGAGGAAAGCCTGGTGGTTCTGCACAGTTGCTCAAAGGATCATTTTTTTAAATTAATCTTTTAAAAAGATTTTATTTATTTGAGAGAGCACGGGCAGGGAGAGAGCGAGAAGCAGGCTCCCACTGAGCTGGGAGCCCGATGGGGTTTGATCCCAGGACCCTGGGACCATGACCTGAGCCGAAGGCAAACGCTCAACCGAGTGAGCCACCCAGGAGCCCTTTAATTTTTTTTTTTTTAAGATTTTATTTACTTATTTGACAAAACAAGCAGGGGGAGTGGCAGGGAGAGGGAGAGGCAGACTCCCCGCTGAGCAGACGCTTAACCGACTGAGTCCCCCCAGGCGCCCCTCAAAGGATCATCTTGAGGCAGGAAGAGAAATGTCTCACGGGGACGGGGTGGGGGGGGGCGGGACGCCTGGGTGGCTCAGATGGTTAAGCGTCTGCCTTTGGCTCAGGTTATGATCCCAGGGTCCTGGGATCGAGCCCCGCATCGGGCTTCCTGCTAGGCGGGGAGCCTGCTTCTCTCTCTGCCTCTGCCTCTCTCTCTCTGACTCTCATGAATAAATAAATAAAACATATAAAAAATGTTTCGGGACCCGAGATTTCCAGTGACTCCAGATGGTGTGTTCCCAGACCGGCATTCCTTTCCAGGATTCACGTGGGCCCCTGATCCCTTGTGACCCACGACACAACATCTTGCTGAGGCTGCTCCTTCTGGAGATTCGCCTCTGGGACCGGTGTCAAACAGCCATGAGGTAATGTGACCTCGCTGGAAGGAAGGCCAGGAGAACCGTTACCCATCCTGTCCCTGAACACATGGCTCCCCTTGCCTGGGTGGGCAGAGCAGATTCCTTATCAGAGATTTGTTTGGTCGCCATCCAAAGGCATTTACTTTTTGATTTTAATCTGTTTCTGACTATAAAAGCAATACATACTTCGAAGCAACCCAAACAATACAAATACGTATAAACTAGAAAGTAAAAGTCCTCTAGTTTACGAATCCCATAAAAGTCCATTATTAGGGGCGCCTGGCTGGCTCAGTTGGAAGAGTGTGCTACTCGGGGTTGTGAGTTTAAGGCTCACGTTGGGTATAGAGGTTACTAAAAACTAAAAACTTTTTTTAAAAGTCAGTTATTAAATAGGTTTCTGATTTTTTTCCCCCTAGCCATATATGTAGTGTGGTTTACGGAAAGCAATTTAGGGATGCCAGGGTTGGGGTGGTTTTTGGAGGTTCCTAGCTGTTGAGTATCTCTCTGGAATGGTCTCCATGGCCCTGAACATCTCTTTGGCATCTTGTCTTTACTGCCCATCCCCCTGCCCCCAGCCCTCTGTCAGCAGACATCCCCCCTTCTGCAAAGGCTTCATTACTGAGACTGTGAATGAAGTCTGTGGTCATTTTAGGAGGGTTTTAATTTTAATTGGGTCTTATTTTTATGCTTTACAAAACTTTAAAGCTTGTTAAACTGTGGGACCTGTAATATTCAAAACTCAGGAAAAAGAGACCCATAGTCCCAGCCCACAGCCATTTTTGTTTCTGACAGTTGCCTTCCAGCCCTTGCATTAATTCATGGGGTGTGCCCTCAGCCACGGGGGTGGAGGTGGGGGTGGGGGGAATTTTTAGCTTCCCTCAGAGGGGAGGGATCTGGGCGCTGGGGGCGTGGTGGTGGGAGGCTGGTGGGCTGCTTGTGTTTCAGGAACCGTCTGTGACTGGTCTTGTTTTTTTAGCTGCCACGTGGATCTCTCCAGTCACTTTAGAGTTGTTTGCAGATGGAATGGAGATGGCTTGTCCTTTCTTTGCCATGTCCCCTCCACACCACAAAGCCACAGAAGGAACTTTTCGTGCCCTGGATGATGAACCCAAGACAAGGCAAGATTCCAGAATAGCAAATAGGGCTGCCGGTGAGTCCTGATTCCGGTCCGATACACATGGTCATTCTGACAAAGCTGGTGGAAGCTGCGACTCCCCATTGCCCCGTCCTGCCAGCGCAAGGGAGGTTTCTGCAAAGGGGTTTGCTCAGTGTGGAAGCTTCCAGCCAGAGGCAGCCTTCGGGATTGCAGCTGGCTCCCTCGGAGCGGCTGCTGGTATCACACGAGCCCCTGATTTGGTCTTGCTGGGAGGCAGGTGGCTGAGCCCGTGTTCAGGGGCAGAAAAAGGGGCAGCAGGAGGAGGAAGAATACAGGGAAAGGATCCTCAGGGGGGCAGAGGAGAAGGAGCCAGGGAGCGTGTGCAGATAGGCGATGGATAAAGCCCCATTCCTTCCTTCCTTCGGTGAAGCTGATCTTGGCCTGCTCAGCGAATGCCCCAGAAAACAGGAAATCCCGTCTGAGCGGTCTCGAGGGAAACGCTGGAAACGCCTGCTGGGTCCCTACGGGGTTTGCAGTGTTTTTCCAAGGTCTGGTTTGTGTCTGCAGCTCTTGCACCGTCTGTTAAAGCGCTCATCCCACTAGGAGGGGCAGGGGACACGGAGCTGGCCAGATGTGACTTGCCTCAGAGTTGGGGACAGGAGATGGAGATGCTCTGTGGTGGGCTGCAAGGGTCCTTGCGGGGAAGGGAGAGGGGTGCAGGGGTGCAGGTCTGGGACGGTCCTGCAGTGCCTGCATCTCGGGTCCTGGCATGGCAGCCTAGCTCCATTTCAGATAAGTCCCCGTACCTACCTTCACCC